TACACATAAAAACTGATGATGGTGGAAAAATACACCGAAACGTATTTTAATTGATAAATAGAGACAATAAATGACTGAAACCCAGGAATGAATTTCACAGTCAGGAAAGTATATACAATTCTCGTCTATTGAGGATATTTTTATCAGGCGGTTGATGTTTCTGCGCTTGGCTCGAGTCTAGTTTTCCTGCCGTGCTTGAGTTTCCTGTTCTTCGAGCTTTTTGCCTCCCCCAGCATCCGTGAGGGAGATCTGTAGCTATTTGCAAGTACCTTATTCTGGTGTCTGTGTTAGTAGATAGCAAATTTCGAAACACAATGTTTTGTATTATTTGAAGACTCTAACTCACTCTAAGTCGGTACACAAAGAAGATCGACTTGAGGTCATAGGAAACAGTTGGGCTTCAAATTATGTTTTTACGTTCAGTGACTACAAAGGTCTTTTACACTAAGAATAAGAAATAAGAAACATACTTTATGAAAGAACGGTCGTTTGTCTAGTTTAAATTCCTAGTTTTGCACTTCATCGACTATTCACTATATCCCTAACGAAGTATTTTTGGTCGTATGTGCCGATCGACTTGATAATGGTATATTTTCGAGAGATTTTATTATCCACAAGTCCTCTTTTTTATTTCTATTAAATATTTATTTGTAAGAAAAGTGGTGATAAGTTGTTCAGATAATACACCAGATTTTGCAACTTGAGTTGAGATGCGTAAAGCGCTGGGTTTATAGTGGAAAGCTTCAGTGTTAGTAATGTATTAGAAGTAATTAGAAGAGCTTCCGCTGGTAATAGTGATAAATTTGCATTCTTTCCTACCTACTTGTCGATCCAGTTTTTTTGTTTTTCAGAACTTTTTTTTCGTGATCGAAAATCAAACTAATCCTCATGTAATGTAAATATTACAATTAAAAAAACTTGAGCGTCACATTTGATTATTCAATCGAACTAGTTCACCCACTGGTTAAAAACACAAGAGCCCTCCTCAGGGCCTTTGTTTGTAAAGTATTTTTGCTTAAAATGCCATCAGGCTATATCTTTGGGAAAATTTTCTGGCGCTTAATGAAGCAACCTGTTTCTATTGAAGTCAATATTTCGTACACGCTAAACGATAGAAAGCAATCAATTTTAATGCAATATAAGACTGATACGAACGTCTGTACAAGAACCGCTTGATTAATGATTAATTGATGGTATAAAATTGCCAATATCTAATTTGAAATTTATGGGTTTAACCTATAGCTATACGAATATAAACTTTGCTCGTTAGTATTATTGTTACCATAGTGCAAATACATTTTTACGTTTAAGTAAACATTGATGCAGTTCTATGAGTATTTTGAAATTTTAACTTTGAGTTTAAGTAAACATTGATGCAGTTCTATGAGTATTTTGAAATTTTAACTTTGTTTTTCTGCTCATTATTTGCCCTCCTGCTGCCCTGCACGACGCTTAAACACTAGGTATACTTTGCATTCCCAAAATATTGTATAAAGTTTCCACTACAGCTAAATTAACGCGATTTTTCGTTGATCCAGATAAAGATAATGACTTCTAACAAATTATATATATCGATGCCAAGCAACGTGCCAAGTAAATTTCCACGGTTAAGTCCGAATTAATTTTTAATAATTTATATCCTACAGATATGGGTTTTATACCATCTCCTATATAAAAATAGATTTTTAAATATATGTTTTTTTATTTGGATCAGAATTAAGTACGATTAATATACGTCACATTTTTTGGCGAATGTATGTATATGCGAATGAGGTCGTGTAATGTCAAATGAAGAACATGAGAAAGTTTACATCTATGCTGTTTTATCGTTTGTACTATTTAATACATTCTACCTATTAGTTTCAGTTTATAGTTTCATTATCTCTATATCTGTCAGATCAACGGCCCCATTGCAGGCAAGCACAACTTTATTGACTCTTGTTCAAGGGCAATACATGAAAAAAATATCTCGTTTAATATGCAATTAAACTGGGGAATTCTTCGAATGTGTTGCAAATGCTATACAAATACTGTCTAATTAATAATGTTATTAACAAAGAGGTTTTTGTGGTTGTTAATCAGATATTAGTTTTTGATAATAGGAATACTTAATAATAGGAATGAATATTCATTAGATGCGAAACTTGGCACTGCAAAAGTCTTAACAATTATTTTATACCAAGTGCTTTCGTTTTCCATACAGGAGAAGGTTCAACATTCGTGCCATAAGTGTTCGGGAGTGGTTAACACTTTGCGAGTTTGCAATCTTGGAAAACCGACGGGGGGGGAAATGTTTTGGTGCGCCATGCCAAAACATCGTGCAAATTCAAGAATGTTACGAAAAAATAAGTATCAATTTAAGAAAATAATTTATTTGAAATCGGGTCTCTTTGTCTTGGTAATTATTATGACTGTCAAATTGGGTCCTATTCATAGATATAAATCCAAACCATATTATCATAAGTTTTAATGTTGTTAGTTTATTCGCTAATTTAAGCTATTTTGTCTTGTAGGATTTCTTATAGCAGGCCGTATCTATTTGGGTTTCTCATTATGTGGGCGAAATACTGAACTTTCTGACATTTTACGGTATCAAACAGTTCTGGAGGTTTATTTTCCTCGCCTTTGCCATGCTCTGAAACAAAATAAAGAGAAATGTCAGGAAGAAATACGTGATTGCTTTGAAAAGACCGAAAACACATCACTAGAAATAAATGACCAGGAAAAGAACATCAGAGTGGTCATAATGAAAACATCAACAATGGTAGAGAAAAAGAAAAAGCATACAAAGATCAACAACGAACAAAATAACAAAAGAAACGAACGTTTTATTTGGTTTCTTTCCAACTATCTTTTGATAGAAGAACGACGATCAATGTATAGAGAGGACAAATATGCAACTGATTCGTATAGACAAACAAGAAGAGAAACAAGGAAAATAATAAGGAAGGATCTTGAAAATTACTATAAGGAAACGACTAAAGAGATTACAGAAAAGAACCAAAATATGAGATGCTTGAAACGGAAAGACGGTAAACAACAGATTATAGCTATCAAAAACAAAAATAAAGAAGAAGAAAGAGATAAAGACAAAATTGTAGAAATAACTACGACGTTCTATGAAAACCTTTATGAAACAAACGTGGTAAAACCAGAGAAAATTATGGAGAGAAGGTTTGCCAACGTAGGTTCAGGGGATATGCAAGAAATAGTTGACGAAGGTGAATAGAATCATCCACGCCGTAAGTTTCGTGAAGAATGACAAGAGCCTGGGTGAAGACAACATCCTCATAGAAATTGTAAAGGAAGCTCAATATATAGTTAACCCAAAGTTAACAAAACTACACTAGTGGATGAAATTAGCGCATTATTTATAGATCTAAATTCAAATTATTGTTTTTTACACTAATAAGAAAATGTTTTCGAAATAAAAATTAAAACAAAACATTAAATCACTAGTTTATCAGATTTTTTGTAAAAATTTCTGATAAATACATTTTGAAATTCAGGTACCTAAAGTTTCCCTCTTTAACCGATTCAGTAGATGCCATAGATTGCCACCTCTAGCTCGAATAACGTCCCTCGATACGTCTTGTAATGTCATAAAAAAGGTTTGTAATGAATTATTGGGGCATGTTGTGCCATCCTTGAAGAACTGCGTTTTCCAGTTCAGCCAAGTTCTTAGGAGTAGAATCTTGTCGTCGAATACGTCGTTTGAGCTGATCCGAAACGTGTTCTCAATTGCAATTTCAAACGATAGATTAATGTCCTTACAAATATCCCAGTTATAAGTAAGCATGATTTTTTACTGGTAGAAAAAGCACTGGAAAATATTAAAGATGATACTGTTATCGAAACCCTTTATAATAAACAACTTAACTTAAGAAACATTTTCTTGGACAAACTCTAGCTAGGAGACATCTTGTGTCTGCGAGAGTTTAATCTGAGAGTATTACCTTACAAATTTAAAATAATTTTATTTTAAAATGCTTAAAATATTAAAAGATTTTAAATAATTTTCTAGAATTACTAGTAATTCATTTCATTCAACTACATTTCCGAACTTTAGAAACACCATTTTTTCAACATCAAATACATCACCTTGTGTTAATACATCAACTCCCTTACTGTTGGCCTAATCTAAATATTAACATGTCGAATGAGTTACCCCTGTAAGTTATTACTATACTTAGATATCAATCGTCGACTGTGGCATCTGCATTTTGCAAATTAGCTATTTAATAATAGTTTTATTTGAGTTGTTTTTTGCAACATACAACTGTTAGTCGTAAATAATTATTTCTGATAATAATCACAATGCAAAAAATAAAATTGAACCGTTCGTATAAGGCTTTGTGTACTTGTAAGATAATCTAGTGAGACTAACTCATCAAAATGTTAAAACTGATATCAATCCCCAACCAGTACGGGGTTGGCTGTATTTATTTACTTTATGTTGATTCTAAATTTAATATATTTTAATATGATGTTAAATCAGATAGTTTGATTGGGAAGTGTTTGACAAATGATCAGGAACATATAGATATCTAGAAAATTGATACAAATATAAAATGACAAAATAAAATCATATAATAATTTTAATAATATTGTTTATTGACTGATCCTGCAAAAATAATTTGCGGCTCAATGCTTTTACATATGTAATATACAAATAAGTTTCACTTAAATTTCACCATATTTTACTGCATTTATTTAATTGCTTTAAAAGTAGACCAACGACGTTGCATTTTGCAGAAATGAAAATAAAAATAAGAACTTTGTCCGAGTGCATCAAAATTTTCAATTAATCAAAACTCAATTTAAATCAGATACGAAATGCATTACAACTATTGTGGTACCTTATAACACGCCTATTTGGCTGGCTGCATTTGTTGGAATTGCCAATATCAATGACGCCTGATAAATTGTTCTGCCAATAATAGATTATAACAAACAATAGTGTCAGATGATGTTACGTTATTACTTGGATAAAATCAAACATTTTCTGGACACCTATTTGAGCGTCCATCTGGCGCGATAAGAATTCGGCTATTTTAGTATAAAGAAATCGAATTAAAGCCAAAATGCATTTAGTTGCACAAATCCCAGTAGCCAACTACAGCTGGAAACAAAAGGAACAAAGCAAACGCTTCTTGGCAGCTTAACCGAATTTCTACAATTGAATTAGATTAGATATTGCATATCGCTTTGATTATTTATTGTGCCGGAAAATTTATTGTGCGGTGTTTGTCATATACATGCAGGAGGAAAAAACGTTTGGTTTTGGTATAAAATGTTGTCTCACTTGGCGTTTAAACGATTTTTGTAACAGTTTTTCAAAAAAAAATCGCCAGACATTCTTATGTAATAATTTAGCTTAGCGGTTTAAGAAGAATTGCCTAATCTACATATTTCAACCGCACAGTTTTAGATCCGTTCTTATTCGGTAGATAGATGCAAAAAATGCGTTTAAATATATATATGTTTTTATTTTATGTGAACTGAACAAGTTAATTTGCGGTAATTTCCTAAGTACTTATAAAACAGTTATGTATTGATCTATGGTAATTTACTTAGTAAACATCTTCGAACATCATCACTAATTTATCTATAAAAATTTTACAAAAAGTTAAATTTTAACATGTTTTTAGTTAGTTAATATAAATTGTCCGAATTCGCTTCTATATTGGTGACTTTGAACGAAGCTTAAAAAACGTATATTTTCAAGTTCTCTTTTCTACTTGTGTTATTTAGAATAGTAAAAAAACGTATATTAAATGATACATTATTGTGACAAAATTTTGCTGCGTTCAAATTGCCCTAACACGCGATCAGCAGTTTGAGAATGTCTATATTTTTTATTTGAAAGTGGATAACCGATTCTTCGCACACTTCCAATACAACGTTAAATCGTGCTCCATCAGTTTATTCGCAATTTTTCCTTTTGTTATATTCTGCATATTTTCTAATGTTTTAGATTCTTTCAAACATTTTTTAAATGTAACGGTTCACCTTCAATCTATTTAATCCCACTCTCCATAAGCCACCTACTTCCCATTAGCCCCTGTATTTGATTATTGCAGTAAAAAGCAATTTGATTCATCAAGAATTGTTTCCTTTGTTTTATTTTTTATGTTAACTATTTCCTACCACGTTTACTTGGTGAACGGTGAATCTCAAAAGTTGTAACAGCATCACTATTTTTCACACATAGTCGCATTTTGATTTAATGGTTTAAAAAAGCATCGATGCCTTGGCATTGTCAACAAACTGATGCTTATTTAAGAACATTTCGTAACTGTCCAATAGTCTTTTTACGGTGTGAACTCAGAGAAGCAAACTATTAGTTATCTCATTATCTGGAATTTTTGCTAACTAAATATTATATTGCCGGTGTATTTTTAAAGTGATTTGCAACAAGCTTGATTAATAGTTTCTGACTTTTGACTAACGAAATGCTTTAATGTACAGAAAAACAAAAATCGCATATTCGGTCTTCATAATTTTTTAAACTAGGCAATAAAGTTTGATATATCGGCGAATAAGGCACAGGGCATATGCTGCACATACGTAGAAACAGTTTAGGGGAAAGCAAATAATTTGCAATCAAATTTTAATTTAATAAATCGCGATTCTAATCATTTGCAGTTCGATATAAGACATTTGAAAAGAAATATGTGTGCTCATCAATGAGATAAACAATTTGACTTGAAAAGAACAAAGAACCAAAATCAAATTTACAGGTGTTGAGGCTAATAAATGCACATTTGAAGCAAATAAATTTGGTAAAACAGTTCGACTTTTCTACCAGCAAGCAGAAGGCTCGCTTGCACGAGCAAGTCTTGCTTCCTTCGTGTTCGTTGCGTAGTCTTTGCTGTATATATTTTCACGCATTTTTGCCTCGCTTAAACTTAGTTTGATTTTGATCAAGTTCTTCTTCTCATGGTTTCGACATTCGCTCCGTATTCCTTATCAGAAAAATTGAATACCCAGGCTCTAGCGTAAAACCTGTGAGCCCAATATGAAAACATCTTATTAATTTAAAATTTTCGGTTTAAATTGAATTTATTTTTACCGTACTAGCAAGAGGAACTACGGGCTTACTATGTATTTTCAAGTTAAAATATTGCTTCTAGAAGTATAATCATCCTCCTTTCTCCAACACATTATTTGCTAATGATACTACTTATATGTACGTTTAGTTTGCGCCATAGTGGATTGTTTATTTATGGTAAAAGCCACCTGAAGCTGTTTGCCTTCCGATGAAAAAATCGTCAATAACCAATGCATGTAAAGCTTAACTGGCACTACAATTTATTTATACTTACTTGAGATATGGTCAATGAGGATGGATGGGTTTCGAAAAATCACTGATTGAAACTTAATAATTAATCGTCCACAATTTAACTTAACAATGGTATGACATTGTGGACTGGTTGAATTAAGTGAAGTTTAAAAATCGTTGAAAAATTGTACAACTAAATGGACACATACACCTCGTCAAATACTTTAGCAAATAAGAGAGTTATATGCCATGCCGTTAAATAAATGAATACCTACCAAAGATTTACACGTAGTATTTGCGCACGTGTGTTAATCGGTCGGAAGGTACTGGTATATGACACTGGAAAGTAGGATCTATTTGCTACAATTTTTAAATAATTTCATTTATTCTATACCATTTTATGTGTTTAATGTTAAAATTGTACCTACTGTGTTTGAATACTCTTTAGTGGCCAATTATCATTGATTGACAAGTTAAATATAGTTTAACTTACTATCAATGTTTATAAATTGTATCTAATAGTAGTTTATATATTCATAGCAGTAATTACTAGTTACCAACTATATTGATTTAGTCTTATTACTATTTATAAAGAAACCACTGTCAAAACTGTGATTATTTACTAAACATGTTGTAATTAACCATTAGTTAATTCTTGTTTATTTCTGTAATTACCCCTAAAACCACCTCATTATCAATAGAACCAAGTTAAAAATTGATCATTGTCAGTGGCAATTCAGAATATATTTACTAAAATCTGATGAAAACTGGAAAGCTCGTACCCAGGATATACCCACATTTAAAAAAATTGTTGCTCCGAATACTCTCAATTGGCTTATTTAAATATGTGCCTCATAAAATTTAGATCAATTAATTTAATTCGCATTGGAACTAGTGTTCAACTTTTGATTCAGTTATCCCTTAATGACAACCCCCTGATCTCCAGCTACCCCAACTTTAAACAAAAAGCAGCAACCGAGATCACTTCTTTGCTAAGGTCTTCAAAATTGATATTGGCCGGCATAAAATAAATTTGCACCTTTCCGCGCTTCGTTTTGATGAAACTTAGACTTAGAAAAAGATGAGCAACTTACAATAATTGGCTAATTTAAGTTCAAAATAAATGCGTCCAGTACGTCCAGAAAACGTTTCTACGTATCTTCTAAAATGCTCCCAAATATTTATGGGGCTCACAGATCCACAGCAAATTGAAATTTTAATGTTTAAGATTGTTAGGATGCAGGAGGCAGATATAAACTATGAGGGAACAAAATATTGTTTGCTATTGTTCAATACTATTGTTTGAATCATATATAAATCGGTTCTGGAACGTCCCTCGCCTTCCGATACCCAATCTCCACTCGTTTCTGTTCGCCCACAAATCGTCATCCACGCCCCTAATTCTTATTTCGCTGTCTATTCCATGTCTCCAGCTTCTTCGTGGTATTCCTCGCTTTCTTCGCCCATTTACATTTTGCAGTATTTGTTTAGGTAGTCTTTCGTTCTCCATTCTCTGCACATGCCCGTACCAAACCAGTTGTTTCGTTTTTACCTCGTCCACTAATTTCTCTTATTCGTTGATTTGTAGCTCGTCCTCTTCTTGATCTTATTGCAGCTCT